ATATAGCAAAATTAGAGTTCGAAGTATACCCATATGATGGAACTAATTGTCCTGATCGAGTAAATAAAGAAATTAGAGCGGATAGAGTATTTTATCGTGGAAACCAGATCGGTGAAAATCACGGGCCTTTTTGGGCGGTACCATGCCGACGGGAGCCGGGAGCTTTTATTATAGTTGTATGGGAGAGGTTACATGTACAAAGCATATATGAATCTTCTAGGGAAGCCATTAATGGAGAAATAAGCTAGGAAGAAGAAATAACATGTGCATGAGAGGAGAGAGAGGGGAGTGTTGTGTCGTAGGAAATGGAATAGTAGCTAGGCAATTGCCCTCCCTCTTCATTGATGAGTAGCTAGTCATTAAATAGATAAATATTCAAAAGGGTACCATATGGTCGGTAAGGCCGACACGCGCTAAAATCTGATGTCCGTATACAACGCGCACATCTACGCCTTCGTCACAGGATCCTGTTCATCTATTAAGAAGCGGTGACTCAGATTAATTTTGGGGTGGAAGTTGAAAATCAGAAGAGTTCCATATTTAAATGTTAAAGAGCATTGGGATATTACCGATAACTCTCCTTTTTTTTTATACAAAGAACGGTGAACCAAGTTAGGATGAGAGAGCATCAAACTCGCCGTTAGTCCTCCGGTGTGAAAGTATGGATGGTGTACGAAGTTCGGAGCGTAGATGACTGGTGGAGTGATGGTGGGCGGATTTAGGATCGGTTTAACCGAAGTATCTCTTCCTACAGGTCAGGCGAAGGTCAAGCACGGATGAATGGCGGCTATGAGGCTTGAGGAGTTTATATATGACTATTAAAGGGGCTTAGGGTTTTTGTATACATGTTTACTAAATACGGAGTACATGGCTGGGCAGTATATGGTGTCATAAATTTAGGTAATTGGGTTTTGGATTGGTAGATAATAAATTATGTATCTGTGTAATGGGCTGGGTTTTCAGAATTGCAATGGGCTTATATACGAAGTATTAGGCTAAAATTATTAATTTATATTAATAAATTATGTAGCGTGTGTATATTATATCTATAGATAATACATTTGAAGGTTACAATTAGGGAAAGTTTTGCCATGTGTCATCTTCTAAGCAATTATTGATTATAATATCTTAGATTCTGTTTCCGATTTAACACTCCGTATATTAGTATTTTTTTAACCGTAATCATTAATTTAACTAATCAATTAATTATCTACTATGGATCAATTGAGTATTTAAGTTAGAGTCAAACTCATCTTAAATTAAATTAGAACTAACATATATGTTGGAATCCTAAAGCTACATAATTCACAAAATAAAATCCCATATTTATTTTAAATGATTATAACTTTTTTATTTGTATTCTGATTGTTACAAAACATATATCATAATCCATAACTTTTTATTACCTTTCATATGAGACCAATATTGAATATATAAAAACAAAAAATTAATTTACCACTTTAAAAAATATTTGTTTTTTAGTGTTATAACTTTTGTTATACTTTGATTGTTAAAAATATACGAAGTATGTTCATAAATTTTTATCAGCTTTCATATGACACCAATGTTGTATATATAACATAATACTGTAATAAATTATTATTTTTTATTAATTTTTGCAATTTAGGACCATTTTTAACAGTGCACACGATTAATTAGGAGTGATGCCTTAGAATAAAACCACACAAACTCCATCACTGTTATTTATTGTGTTATTCTTTCCGATAGATTTTGTGCAATTTTATTTGAAGCTATCGCTCCGATTATGTGTGCATTGTGAAAATGATACTACATTTGTCCCTAAAAAGATCATCCAATTGCGGGTTACAAAGATTTACCAGTGATAAAGTTAAATGATCCATGTAAAAGTTCATATTATTTTTAGTAAATAAAAATTACATATTCGGATACTACATTAAAACCGCGACAAAACCTACAAAAAATAATTTATTTTTCGTAAAATTTTGATGTATTAAGTAAAATATTAAGAGTAATTTAAGTTGACACTCGAAAAGCGAAGTGGAAGATCTTCATGGATGGAGAGAGTAGTATATTGCACAAATTGATAGATTTTAAAAAACGATAATAAAAAGATATTATAAATTAACTTTATGTATATGTATTCCAAATGTAAAAACACGTATAACAGTTTTAAAATCTTATTTATATAATATTAAATTAAAATTAACATGAGATTTTTCTATGTTGGGGCCCGATGAATTCTAATGAAACACGACAAAATTTCCATAATTTATAATTGCATTTGAAAATTTTAGAAATAATACATATATGGAGTGATATGTTATGAGTAATAAAAAGCTATTATATATTAACTTTAGCTATATGTTTAAAAAAATAACTTTAGCTATGTGTACTCAAAATCTATAACAGTTTTTAAAGTTTTATTTTATATACTTTTTTCCAATAATTTTATGTATACTTTTTTCCATAATTAACAATTATGGAAATTTTATCGAGTTCGATTAGAATTCAACAAAGTTCTATACTTAATTTATGTAACAAAAATTCAATATTCAAACGGGCTCATAGATTAGAGTTATGCTTGGCACTTCGAAATGTAGGTAGATGCTAATGTCTAAATTGAAGGCTATTGTTTTAACTGGAAACTATTGTATAGAGTTGAATTTTGAAGTGTTACGTTGAATCTGAACTGTTAGTTGGATGAGAGAAATTTGTTTGGCAAAAAGAGTTAAAAAATGCTCAGGCATACAATCTGACTTGGCCAGATCAGATCATATACAGATCAAACCAAATCTAATCAGAACAGACAAATCAAACAAAAAATTCAGTCTAATTAATATTGTTTCATGGACTCCTTCCTAAAATTTAGAACTTTATATATATCAAATTGGAATTCAATAAATCTCCTGAACTTATGCATAAGTAAAATCTAGAGTGAAGTAGCCTACTATGAAGTTATATAATCACCATACAAGCAGAAGTGAGATAGACATATAAAATTATATTAGCTTATTATGGAATTAAACATTCATATTTTAAAAGTATTCATGAGTAAATTTTTATTTTTCACCAATGAGATGATGACACATGATTAATTCGGAACTAAAATGCAAAAAGGGCCTTTAAAAATCAAACGGGAAACCTCAAAAACTAATTTCTTGATAACGATCTAATTTCGCAAAATAAATCATAAAAACATTTCAAAATCATGAATATAAATTTTAGTCGTGTATGAATTTATGCAATGAATTTTATAACTTTATTCAAATAATATTAGAAATACAATTAAAAATTATGGAAATTTTGTCGTGTTCGATTAGAATTCAACAAAGCTTTATACATTATTTATGTAACAAATATTCAATATCCAAGCGGGCTTAGAGTTATGTTTGGCACTTCGAAATGTAGGTGGATGTTAATGTTTGAATTAAAGATTGTTGTTTGAACCGGAGACTATTATCTAAAGCTGGATTTTGAAATGTTGCATCTGAAGTGTTAGTTGGATGAGCTAATTTTGTTTGGCAAAAACAGTTAAAAATGCTCAGAAATATGACCCGACTAGATCATACAGATCAGACCAAATCCGATCAGAACTGACAAATTAGACAAAAAAAAATCAATGTAATTAAAAATGTTTTTGATGAATTCCTTCCTAAAATTTAGAACATTGTATATATGAGATTAAAATTTAAGAAATCTTCTGAAATTTTTTATGATTAAAATTTGGAGTTAATTAGCTTAATATGGAGTTATATAATCATTATACAAACAGAAGCGATCGAGATAGACATATAAATTTAAATTATCTTATTATAGATTTAATCATTCATATTTTAAAAATATTCGTGAGTATAATACAATAATATCGAAGATACACATTATGCGTGTAGTGTATTTAAAAAAAAACATTATGCGTGTAGTGACAAACCCTGATGGATCTTAGTGACTCTTGAAGATGTAATTGATGCATGATAGAAGAAAATAATATCGCATCCTAATAGATCCCGAGGCGGCCCTGGGAGAAAGGGGGGCGGGTGCCCTAGACCCAAAAAAATGGGTAGAAAGTAGGCCCGATTTTAATTCTTTGTAATTGATGTGAGGAAGCTGATTTCAGTCCTAAACTAACAATTTTTTTGGGTGAAATCTGTTAATGTTTTTCGCAATGGATTATTTTAATGAAAACTTATGATCACATTCTCAATGAAGTCTAGATGATGTAAAAAAGAATCAGTTTAAAGTTTAATTTAGAAATCAATTAAATAAATTATTGAAAAACACTGCATTTTTATACATATTTCGCACATTGTTTTTCAATAATTTATTTAGCTGATTCACGATTGAATTTTAAGATAAAATTCTATGCACATAATCTACACTTGATGAAAACATTTTCTTAAAAAAATTTTATTAAAAAATTCAATCAAAAAACTATTAGTTTATGACTGAAAAATCATACTCCCTCCGTCCCCTTTTAAATGTCCCATTTTACCATATTGGGGTGTCTCTATTTAATTGTCACATAACTTATTTGAAAAGTTTGTGTGGCTCAAAATCATTATTACTTTATTCTTACTTTATCAAGTCTCATAACTTATTTGGTAAAGTTTGAGTGTCTCATAACATCTTTTAAGCACACCTAAATTATTTCAATAAAATTGTTTAAAAATATTTCTAATAACTTCCATATTATTCCTAAAATAAAAAGAAGAGTGAAGTATCATAAAATGAAAGTGGAAAAATTAAAATAGCAAGACTGTATGTGTTAAAATTTACTAAATATAAATTTGTCTTAAGCTATTTCAAGTTATGTCCACCTTTCTAATTAAGGATATTTTCAATTGAAATCAATTTTTTTATCTCACTTATGAAAGTTAACATTATTTTTACTTTAGTGTATATATTAATTTAATCTTGATATATTTTGACCGAAAGTTACATTTCAAGTCTTGGAAAGTTTTATTATAAATTACAATCATATCATGAGACTAAAACTATTGTTTAAGAGCTAGATAAATAAACTAGATTGTATATAAAAGGTGTGTTTATGGGTTTTCTCCTCATCCGTTCTTTCTGATCTGATCATCTCCAAGGCCGATCGAAAGATTGATTTGACATCCCAGATAGTCAGGAGCACTACTATTTTGAAGATAGATAATTCTGGTAATGGACCTGCAACAGAGGTCTTGTTACCTTTTCCTGATCACCAGGCAAAGAACTTGGCTTTCCTAAAGGTCACAACTAGTGAAGGGAAAGGGAAAACTAAATCACCTTCAGGTAGCCTCCCCGTAAAGGCTGTCAATCCTGATGGAATGCCCACAGCCCTGACTTGGTATGCTGTAACTCTGCCAAAGGAACTAGTCAAGGGAGAGAGCTTAACTTTGGAGATTGAGGCAGTTTTCACACATCTATTGCAGCCATTCCCTGAAAAAATTACTCAGGCTGACCTGCAGCTTTTTATGCTTCAAGATACTGCACATTATCTGTCTCCCTACTCACTGTCAAGCTACCTGAGCCAGTGGTTGAATCTTATACGAAACTTGAAAATACCAAATTCTCTGGTTCTGAGCTTAAGTATGGACCTTATCAAAATGCTAATCCTTTCTCGTACCAGCCTATAGTAGTTCACTTTGTTAGCAACAAGCCCTTTGCAGTTGCTGAGCAGTTGGTGCAAGAGATAGAAATCTCGCATTGGGGAAATGTGCAGGTAACAGAGCACTACACTCTTGTCCATGCTGGTGCATTTAGCACTGGAGAATTTTCAAGGTTGGATTACCAGACCCGGCCACATATTAGAGGGGCGTCTGCATTTAGTAATCTTGTAGCTAGGTTGCCACCAAGAGCTCATTCCATATATTATCGAGATGAAATTGGGAATATTTCAACATCTAATTTATGGAGTGACAAAATGAAGACATTGCTGGAAATTGAACCTAGATATCCGATGTTTGGTGGCTGGAAAACTTCTTTTACAATCGGTTATGGCCTGCCACTTCAGGATTTTTTGTTCCGTTCTGATGGGAAACGTTTCCTTAATATCTCTTTTGGTAGCCCAATCAATGAGGTGGTTATTGACAATCTCATTGTTAAGGTTGTTCAAACAGCTGAAAGAGACTAAATTTTCCCATTTAGATATGATTGGTAGACCAGTGGTTGTTCTAGAAAAGAAAAATGTTGTGCCTGAGCACAATCAGTATTTCCAGGTGTATTACCGGTTCAACAGCTTCTCACTGCTTAGGGAACCAATGATGTTAATTTCTGGATTTTTCTTCTTTTTCCTCACATGCATAATTTATATGCATGCTGACTTGATGTTGGAACATATTGTTTTGTTGATGACAAACAACTAGTGTTACTTTTGGTCTATAATTGATGGCAGGAAAGGAAGATGAGTCGTGCTTTGGAACAAGCCGTAGACATGAACCCGGAACTATCCTACAACAGACATATATGTTTTGTTGATAACTAACCATGCAGGTGGAACTAATATTGAACCATTTCTAGCTCCGTGGAATGGTTTGAATTAATATGATAGAATTTATTTGATTATCAATTAATATGCTTTCTTTGATAATACCTTTTATGTGATAAATTGATAATACCTTTTATTATGTGATCACCACTTGGAATTAATTGAATAGGCCACTTACTTTTTAGTAAAGATTATCATAATAAAGCAAGAATATTTTTAAATGCATGACCATCTTAGAAGTACGGTGCATAAGTCATTTGAATTTCTTTCCATGCATAATTAAATATTCACTTTATTGAGTTGGCTTATATTGACTAATGCTTTATGAAGAGAATCTCCACTTGCCATGATTGCATGCTTTTTAAAAGATTGGTCCTATCTAGCTTTATCCATGGAAAGAATCCCTACGTGTTAATTGCATGCTTATCTATGCTAAGCATTTTTTGACCGTAGCATTTTTGCTTCTATGTGAATATATCAATTGACCGTAGCATGGAAAGAATCCCCACTTGGGTATCCTTCTATCTTTATTATCAATTGACGGTAGCATTTTTTGCATATGCTAAGTGAATATCTTGTCTTTTACAAATGTTGACCGAAGGCATTTTTGGTAAAGTTATTATATTAGTTTGTCTTACAAATGATTGCTTGAATATTTTATTGCTACATTATGTTCGTTGCTTGCCTACATGTTAAGTAAATCAATATTACTTCCTTATATGATGACTCGTAAATCATGAGCAAACTGACTCTTAATTGAGACCGAGTAGGAGAGAGCTACTGGAAGGAAAGTAATTCAAATAATATCAAGGCAAGTCCATTAATCTATCAAGCAACCAACTAAGGAAAGTGGAGCCAACGGACGTCTTGCATGAGGCTATATATATGATGGAAGATCAAGAGAAGAAGGTGTGCTTGACCGAGAAAATATCAAGAGAGATACTCGAGAGAAATACAAAGTTCAAGGCACCTGAAACTGCTCCCGGAGTTCTAGACAGAGTTCTTATTCTCTTCCTATATTGTAATTGGGTTATTGAGGATTAGCTAAGTGTAGCTTCCTCGGGTTGGGTAACGTGTGTTGTGAGAGCTTTGTTGTAAAGCTGAGAGGCTCTCTACCCGCAAGGTAGAGAAGCGTAACTCTTCCTAGAGAGGATAGAGTTGGGGTGGCTCAAGGGTAGACTAGGAGAGTTTCCCTTGTAATCATTCAAAGGCTTTTTAGTGAAGTTGTTAAAATTCCTCCGAGGGAGGTCGAGGTTTTTTAATCCCTTTGAGCCAAGGGATTTTTCCTCGTTAAATCCTTGTGCACTTTACTATTTCGCAATACCCTTCACCCCGCACTAGAACTGGGCGAAAAACTGCCACGGTTCCACACACACAATTCACCCCCCCTCTTGTGTTGCTAACCGTTTTCATCAATTGGTATCAGAGCCGGTCTTCACCACATAGAGGTTAATACCTTGGGAAGAGATCCGGCAAAATGAATACGGTTGACCGATTGGAAGAAGGTTACTCGACTCAACGACCACCATTGTTCAATGGGAAATACTATCAGTTCTGGAAGAGTCGGATGGAGAACTTTATCAAAGCCGATAATTATCAGGTATGGAATGTGATAGAAGGTGGCGACAATGTCATCACAAAGCTAAACGGCGAAGGTAATGTTGTTCCTAAACCTAAATCTGAATTTACTACTGATGATTATCAAAAACTCGAGCATAATGCCCAAGCACTAAAATATTTGATTTGTGGACTTGGTCCTGCCGAACACAACCGGGTTCTAGGATGCAAGTCTGCCAAACAAATGTGGGATTTGCTCGAGGTTACTCATGAAGGTACCTCACGTGTAAAAAAATCTAAAATTGACATATTTATGCGTAATTACGAATTATTCGTAATGAAGCCTGGAGAGTCAATTAAGGATATGATTACACGTTTTACTAATATCATCAATGAGCTTTCAGCCCTTGGAAAGGAAATTACTGTGGAAGATCAAGTGAGAAAAATTTTGAGAAGCTTGCCCTCGGTATGGAAGCCTAAGACCACGGCTATTGAGGAAGCAAAGGACCTATCCACCATGACTCTTGAAGACTTGACCGGTTCACTCTTGACATATGAGTTAGGGCTTCAAGAAGAGCAAGACGCTGAGACTGTAAGGCGAGAGAGAGGAATTGCTCTAAAAGCTCGAGAAGAGGAGGAAGAATCCGAAAGTGAATCGGAAGATGAGATGAGCATATTTGCTAGACAATTCGGGAAGATGTACCGACGGTTCAAGAACAACCGGAACAAACAAGGTAAAAATAACTTTCAATCTTTTAATAACCAAGGCTGTTTTGTTTGTGGTTCCCTTGAGCACAGGGCTAAAGACTGTTCACAAAAGAAAAATGACCGGACCTACGACAAGAACAAGTCCAGTTCTAACCGGAGGTCCAGCAAAGACAAAGGGTTCAAAAGAGATCTCAAAAGGGCAATGATGGCAGCATGGGGAGACTCATCCGATGACGAAGAAGAGGAGAGTGATAAGAACTCTAACCATACAGGTCTATGTCTTATGGCACACTCCGACGAGGAATCCGACCAAGAGAGCTTCGAGGTAAACTTTGAAAATTTTCTATCTAAGTTTGACTCTCTATCCAAAACCAAAGCCCGGAAAATTTTCAAAAGATTGACTATTGAGCTTAATCAAAACCTTTCTGAAAATGATCATCTTAAATCACAAATCACTGAGCTTGAGTCTAAACTCGAGGAAGCCACGAGAGCCAAGATAAGGCTTGAAACAAAAGTGGGAGAGTTAATAGATGAAAGGCTTAAGTACAGTGAAGTGGTTTTAGAACAAGATCAAATCATTTGCTCTCTTAAGCTCGATAGTATGAACAAACAAGTTAATCATGATGAAAAACTTCTCTCAAAAATTCCGAGCGTTGGTACTTTGATTGATCATCTTCATCGTCTTGTTGCCGAGTGTACAGATTTTAAAAATAGACCGGAATACCAAGCATATAGTGCTACGAACAAAACCAGGTCTAGACCTTATTCTGGAACTGGTCCCCCTCGGCACAATAAGAAGGAAAACGAGACTGCTGGTCTCGGTTATATTCCAAGGAACACTCAACCTAATAAAAAACCTGATTTTCAGAACCGATCCTTTAATGGAAATAGAACCAGAGGACAACCCAGTTCTAGACCATATCAACAACCACCTAGAACTGGACCAAACTGGTTCGATAGACTGGTTCAGAGGCACAAAAACGGTTATGGACAAACGCCAAACCGAACTTTTCATAAGAAAACAAGAGGCTTTTATGGTAAGTGGAAACCTAAATACGTTGATACCTATGACAACCGAGTTTGCATGCATTGTGGCAAAATCGGGCATCTTCGGTATCAATGTCACTCTCGACAAAAGACCTTAGAAAGATGTTTTGACTATGTTCGATATCCATCCTCAAACAAATACAAAATGGAACCCAAGCAAGTCTGGGTTCCACGGACTAACCCGTGATTCAGGAACAGCGCCAAGTGAGGGGGAACAATCACTGGTTCCTTGACAGTGGTTGTTCTAAGCACAGGACTGGAGACTCATCTTTATTCCTCTCACTTCGGCCATTTAGTGGTGGGAAGGTGATATTTGGAGACAACGGCAAAGGAGAAATTGTAGCCGTGGGAAAAATCAGAAAATCACCCAACCATTTATTTGATTTTTTTCAAGGTTATAAGTTCAATTTGCTAAGTATCTTTCAATTCTGTGATGGAGGTAATAATGTTATTTTTAATAAAGAATATGTGCTTATAATTGTTGATGATTTCTCAAAATATACTTGGACTATCTTTCTTGCTAGTAAGAAAGATACTTTTAATGAGTTTGTTATTTTTGTAAGGAAAGTTGAGCATCAAATAGGGGAGCAATTAATTAAGATCCATTCGGATCATGGGACCGAATTTGACAATACACTCTTTGATACATTCTGCCAAGAACGAGAGGTGGTAGAACGGAGAAATAGAACATTGAAAGATATGACTAGAACTATGTTCATCTAGTGGTCTAGCAAAGAATTTATGGGCAGAATCTCTAAACACGGAGATTTCACCAATTCCATGAGAAAGGGGGAACCAATCATGAAACCAATCGGCATGAGGAGATAAGAACAGGAACTGACAATAACATGCTTAGAACTGCGGATATACCCAGTCAATCCACTGCCAACCAGACTGAAGAACAGGCTGATCCAGTTCCAGACGACTCACATGAAATTGAAGACCATTCAAATGCTCTTAGAGGATGGAAGCTTCATCGATCACATCCTTTGGATAACCTCTTGATTAACCTAAATCAGGGAGTAACTACTAGATCTAAACCTAGAATTGTTTGTGCTTTCTTAGCTTATCTATCACTTATAGAACCGGAGAACCATGAAGTGGCTCTCTCCGACGCTGACTAGTTTCTAGCTATGCAGAAAGAACTTAATCAGTTTGAGAGAACTAAAGTATGACATGATGAATTGAAAGGCCATGACCACTCCTATGGGAACGAATGATAGACTTGACGCCGATGAAAAAGTAACAAGCGTGGACATCAAGATGAGTCAAGAAATGATTGGGTCACTGCTTTACCTAACTGCCAGTAGACCTGACATAGTTTTCAGTGTAGGTCTATGTGCCCGGTTCCAGGACAATCCTAAAGAATTCCATCTCAAGGCACATCTGGTCTCTCTACCACGTTGATCATTGGTTTTTCAGCTAGTTATTGTTTTGTTGTTGACAAAAGGGGGAAGAATATGTGCCCTACGTGTTCTATGCTTGATACTTTGTGCTTATCCATTATGAAACTAACTTTAGGGCACCAAGTGTTTGTCATCAACAAAAAGGGGGAATTTGTTGGAACATATTGTTTTGTTGATGACAAACAACTAGTGTTACTTTTGGTCTATAATTGATGGCAGGAAAGGAAGATGAGTCGTGCTTTGGAACAAGCCGTAGACATGAACCCGGAACTATCCTACAACAGACATATATGTTTTGTTGATAACTAACCATGCAGGTGGAACTAATATTGAACCATTTCTAGCTCCGTGGAATGGTTTGAATTAATATGATAGAATTTATTTGATTATCAATTAATATGCTTTCTTTGATAATACCTTTTATGTGATAAATTGATAATACCTTTTATTATGTGATCACCACTTGGAATTAATTGAATAGGCCACTTACTTTTTAGTAAAGATTATCATAATAAAGCAAGAATATTTTTAAATGCATGACCATCTTAGAAGTACGGTGCATAAGTCATTTGAATTTCTTTCCATGCATAATTAAATATTCACTTTATTGAGTTGGCTTATATTGACTAATGCTTTATGAAGAGAATCTCCACTTGCCATGATTGCATGCTTTTTAAAAGATTGGTCCTATCTAGCTTTATCCATGGAAAGAATCCCTACGTGTTAATTGCATGCTTATCTATGCTAAGCATTTTTTGACCGTAGCATTTTTTGCTTCTATGTGAATATATCAATTGACCGTAGCATGGAAAGAATCCCCACTTGGGTATCCTTCTATCTTTATTATCAATTGACGGTAGCATTTTTTGCATATGCTAAGTGAATATCTTGTCTTTTACAAATGTTGACCGAAGGCATTTTTGGTAAAGTTATTATATTAGTTTGTCTTACAAATGATTGCTTGAATATTTTATTGCTACATTATGTTCGTTGCTTGCCTACATGTTAAGTAAATCAATATTACTTCCTTATATGATGACTCGTAAATCATGAGCAAACTGACTCTTAATTGAGACCGAGTAGGAGAGAGCTACTGGAAGGAAAGTAATTCAAATAATATCAAGGCAAGTCCATTAATCTATCAAGCAACCAACTAAGGAAAGTGGAGCCAACGGACGTCTTGCATGAGGCTATATATATGATGGAAGATCAAGAGAAGAAGGTGTGCTTGACCGAGAAAATATCAAGAGAGATACTCGAGAGAAATACAAAGTTCAAGGCACCTGAAACTGCTCCCGGAGTTCTAGACAGAGTTCTTATTCTCTTCCTATATTGTAATTGGGTTATTGAGGATTAGCTAAGTGTAGCTTCCTCGGGTTGGGTAACGTGTGTTGTGAGAGCTTTGTTGTAAAGCTGAGAGGCTCTCTACCCGCAAGGTAGAGAAGCGTAACTCTTCCTAGAGAGGATAGAGTTGGGGTGGCTCAAGGGTAGACTAGGAGAGTTTCCCTTGTAATCATTCAAAGGCTTTTTAGTGAAGTTGTTAAAATTCCTCCGAGGGAGGTCGAGGTTTTTTAATCCCTTTGAGCCAAGGGATTTTTCCTCGTTAAATCCTTGTGCACTTTACTATTTCGCAATACCCTTCACCCCGCACTAGAACTGGGCGAAAAACTGCCACGGTTCCACACACACAATTCACCCCCCCTCTTGTGTTGCTAACCGTTTTCATCACTTGACAATCTCAAAGTCTTCTGCTTCTTATTTGGCAAAGAAGCAATGGGATGAGGTGCTGACTGTTATTCAGGAAGTTGAGACCATCATAAGCTCTTGCTTGACTATTCATGATAAACTAGAATCATCACTGCGTGATCTCTCAAGGACAGGGAATGTTCAAGCTTGCAAAGCTGCTCGAAAAGAAGCTGATGGCGCTTTGAAAGAGCTTTTCAAGGGCTTGAAGCCTTTACTGTCATCATTGCAATCCTTCCCACAGGCTGCTTCAATCTGCCCTAAGGTCGAAGAGCTGGTAAAGAAGGAAACAGAACTCCAAGAGAAAGTGACACTGAAGCATTCACTAGTCATAGATTGTTATGAGAAAAAGTCAGGGGGGCATGACATTGAAAAACGTGTTGCTCAAATCCAGGAAAGAATTACATCCTTGCGGCAGGAAGTTGATGATCTTCTTGAAATAATCAATGAGATATAGTTTTCATACTTGAACATTTTTCTTTACGTCTAACAAACTTATTGAACTTTTTTCTTGCTGAATAGCTGGATTTAAATTTTGATGTGATGCGGAATTCCGAATAGAGACTTTTTTTTAGTAAAAAAAAAAAAAAAAAAAAAAAAAAAATTGTATATAAAAGGTACATAGTAATTATTTGGTCGTGCAAATTAAGATCATTTTTCATTGCTGCATATGAGACATTTGTCTTTTTTATTTCATTGCATAATTTGACATGCTTATGTTTCGATTATAGTTTGATGTGATGAGATTCTTTTTATAGGATTTATTCATCTTATCTTCTATAATACAATTGTCTATTGAAAGTCTAAAACATGAAAAAAAAATTCATTCAATAACACTTATTTTACTTAATAAGATCATTGAAACCTTCAGTAACTCAACCTAACGAAAAATAAATTGATCGCTTTCAATTACAATATGCAATCCATTGTCGCCATCATCACATTCATTAAAATGAGAATGCCACAAAACTATATATTCTAAACTCTTTTCTTAAAAAAGAAATCAGAAGACTAATTTGAAAATTTCTAAAACATAGTAGGGCTAATATCTTTAAAAATTTGACTTGACTCTTTTTTAAATAAATAAGTTACAAAAATGTGTAGTTAGTTTTGAAAAAAACAGTAAGCCACGAATTAGATTTAATGGATAAAAATAGCCATTGAACATTTTAAATCAATGATATAATCGACCAAATAACTAATTTTTCTTTAGTAAAACTAAATAAAAAAATCATTTTGTCCCGTGCACAGCACGGGTAAAGATACTAGTTCAAATAATGCCAATAATTAAAAACCTATTTATTTATAATTACGTACATATTTGGGCATAAAGTGTTAATCAAAATGTTAACAAAAAATATCTTTGGCATCATCAGATATTAACATAAAGTATATTAGTGTTAGTATTATTCTTATTCAGATACCATTAATTTTATTAATATTTCAAAAAATGATTTTTATTATTGATTTAAATAAACTTTCTCAAGAGCCAAGACCAATATTTGTCACATGTTGGATTTTTATTAAAAAGTCAATGATTACACATTGTCAGTAGATTGTGAAACTCTATATAACATTTCATTTTTCCTACTTATTCCAAAACATACTTACTACCTATTTCTGAGTTTTCACTATCCAATCTTTAATTATAATTTATTATGCATGTCACATCTATGACATTTTGCATTTATTTTACACGACCAAGTAATATTTATAAATAATATCATATCGTTATTACATTTTAATATCTCACGCATCGCGCGTGTGAAAATATAGTGTTCATGAACACACCAATGATTTTCATTATATCACTCATTCAAAAATGTGGCCCTCTGTCTCCACATTGATATGTATGCATCTCTTTCTTGAGACTCCTTTATAATGCATTTGAAACAACGATTATATAATATAAAATCATTATAAAAACATATTTTTGATAGAAATGAGATAAATTTAGAATAAACGGTAGGTAAAAAATGAAACAACTAAATTTAAAAAGCTTGAAATCAGGTTAATAGTGTTTTTATTTAGACTCTACTCTAGATCATTATCCACAAGAATACGAAAGTGATTGCAAGAGCTTTAAAAGAACAAAAGTGCTTTTAAACATGTATTTTTACTTATTTTAAGTAGTTTTAAGTGCAAACTAAAAGTAGAATGAGTGATGCTTAAGTTTTTCGGTTTTTCACTTTTTTATTACACCAGAAAATGTCTTTTTAGCAAATAATCTAACTTTAACTTTTCAAAATTACTTTTCTTTTCAGACACTGCCCATTTTTTTACTAATCATTTTTATAGAACTGGTTGTCTAGATTAATTAAATTCCGCACAAAAATTAGCCGAAATATCTATACAAACTCAAACTAAGTTTTTTTTACTCCATGGGGGGCATGGGATAATTAGGGTTGAAACTCAGTCCATTGAGTTTAGAACCCTTATGTGCCTAGCAGGTTTCGAACTCGAGACCTCCCACTAGGCACGGTAATCTCACAACCAGTTAGGCTGGAATGCTTGTTTATAGTTTTGAAAGCATATGTTCACTGTTATAGTTTTGATAACGTTGCTCCAGCTTTATTAAAACTATGAAATTGGTTTGAATAGTAAAACATTTTGGTGTTGGTAAGAACCAATTTTCATAAGGAAAATGAAATTGTGTGGCTTAAATGCTAGTAGAAATACAACATGCTAAATGAAACCAAAGTCTTGTTTGACAAATGATTATTAACTACTAACTAAATATGATAACGGTTGATAAAGAGGAAGCAGTCCAGCTCAGCTGGTCGTCGACTCACTTTCCCTTATGGGAGGTCTCGGGTTTGAAACTCAATGGAGTGAGTTTCAACTCAGTTTACTCCAGACCCCCCAAACCCCCTCCCCCAGACGCCCCCTGGAGTAAAAAAAAGTACAAAAAGAAAGATAACGGATTGATATTAATTGATTGTGTCAGATATTTTAATTGGTTGATTAAGTTAGCTTGTGCTTGACATGTTTGATATATTAGTTGTTTAAAAATAGATATATTGAATGTAAATAGACATATAAGATCATTAGTATTTATTTTTATTTTTAGCTATTGTTTAAAAAACAATAATACCTACAATTTTTTTTGTAGAGTATAAATCATTATATTTTGAAATTTCAGAAATTGATAAATAAAACTACACGAAAGATAAATTGAATTAAAAGAACAATTTTTATTTAATTTGAATAACATGAATACATGGTTGCCAAATGGACTCTAAATCATCAAGATTTGTAAATTAGAATGCTGATTGCCGGCTCATAATATTTCTCTGGGAAATGACCTTCATACAGAAAGCAATTTTTAATTTTTTTTATGCAGATAAAAAAATAAAAATTATTTTCATTTGAGAAAGCAATGCTTATCTAGTGTTTATACATATGAGAAAGCAATGCTTATTTTGTGTTTCACAAAATAATTGACAAACTAATTTGAATTCAAAATAAATAAATGCCCACATATTGGATTGTGAATACCTTCATTTGTCGTATTTGCCCATTACATTTATTTTCATTCGTTTATGGTTACGTCCTCCGTGTGTGTATTATTCATATTCCGGTATTAGGTACTTAACGTATGAAGATGGATCATGCTCCTCTTTATTTACTTCTCTCTATTTCTTTTTCACTCTATATTTCTTCTTAAAAAAAGTTAAACATAATCTTTTTTCTTTCTCTACCCCACCATTTCCCCACCTCTCTCTATCTCTCTTCTAATGGAGAGTTCCAGTTAATGGAGAGGAGCAAAATTCACGGCGTATACGGGAATTTTCGGCCGTTGTTTACAACCATGCATAATGGGTAGCACGGAGGTTTTGTACCGTGGGAGCAACCCACGCTGAGGATAGTGCTCCTAAAGGCAAATTCGCGTGTTACTGTTCATGCGCGTGAACAATAATTTTTTTTTCCCTTGTCCCAGTCTCAAGGTGATGTAACACACGTGTAAAGAAATGTAACTCACTTTGAGAAAAAGTGTAACTGCAGGTAAATCGAAATGTAACTTGTGTAATATGGAGTATAAGAAATACAACATTGATTTCAATGTAAACAATGAAAACAAGGAGTCTAATTGCTCAATTACTTTACGTAAATAGTGAATATGTTTGTTTTTAATATTATTAAGGCCATAAACATATTTTTTTTAATATCTTTTTTGCCAAAAACCATTTTTTTTTTGCAAAAAAAATGAAATTTTAGTTTCAATAGTTAGAGTTTATTTTGGTATGTAACTAGTTTTATGGAAAATGTAACTCGTGGCTATAAAAAATGATTTTTTTTATAAAAACATTTTTTCAATATCAGGGGTTTATTGTGTTGTGTAACTCGCATTATTTTGCGATGTAACTCGTATAGTATAAAGTGTAAATCACGTGCAAGTATGATGTAACTTGCTGAGGAAAGTTGACATGTAACTCGCGTTAATAGACATGTAACTTTAGACAAATCCTGATATAACTATGTGTATTTTCAGATGTAATTTGGCCATTCAAAATATAAATTGTTTAAAGTCTTTAAACTATAATGTGTGTGTGTGAAGATTTCTAATCAGCCAACAAGAACACCCATCACAATTCACAAATATGTAATGCGATCAAAGCTTCTTCAGTTCTTCATCTCTAATATTTGTGGATGCATCGATTAATGCCAATAGCGTTGGAAATCAGTGGAAGGAACGAAGGTGGCCAAGCCAAATCATCCATTCACACACATGATTATTTGGTCGCTGGATGAGATCGTTGTAATCAGCCAAAGCCAAAACTAAGTAGGATTGCTTTGATTTGTGTTGACCAGGTCCAATGTGACGCTTGGCGGTAGCGTGCAGGGCTTCTGTGAAGGATAACACAGCTTTTTTTTTAATTAAACGCCACCGTTTAGGGATCCCACGGTATAATTTGCGGGTAGCATGGTCGTTTAGTTTTTATGAAGCTGTTCCAATTTCCAAAACACTACACAGGGCAGCGATTAAAATAAAATCTCCGATTAGAATAGTTATTTGCCAAACATTTTTTTTGAATCATATCAACCAGATAAAAATTGGTACAAGAAACTAATTTTTGGCTGATCAGCCATTTACCAAACCTGGTGCAAATCTAATATAGTCAAACATCCGGCTTCGCATTTAAAGAAGAACAGTTCACATACGTAGGATTACATTTCCGAGTCGCAATAGACATGGGGTTTCAATCTGGGCATGGCGTGCACAATTAAAGGCTCAGCCCGTTGAAGAGTAAGCCCATAAGCCTCTTCCATGTTGAGTTTCTCCGCAGACTGCCCATTGGGCAACTCCCAATCAAAAGCGTGGACCAAAGTTGCCACCAGCAATTGGACCATCCTCAGGCCCAAACTCATCCCAGAACAAATTCGACGCCCTGCTCCAAACGGGATCACTTCAAAATCATTGCCTCTCACATCCGCATTGGGCTTTTCTCCTCCCGGGAGGAACCGGGCCGGGATGAACTCGAGAGGGTCCGTCCACGCGTCCGGGTCACGGGCTATAGCCCAGACGTTGACGAGAAGCGTCGCGCCTTTGGGAACAAAGTAGCCGTTGATCTCGCAGCTCTGGGCTGCCATTCTGGGAAGAGAGAGGGGAGTCGATGGGTGAAGCCGGAAGGTTTCTTTGACAATTGCCTGCAGGAATGGTAATTGGGCCAAATCTGATTCCTTTACAACTCGATCTGGGCCGATTACTCTGTCCAGTTCTTCTTGGGCTTGCTTTAGGATTTTTGGGTTGCGTAGCAGTTCCGCAATGGCCCATTCCACAGTACTGGACGATGTATCAGTGCCAGCTGTAAACAAATTCTGCATCCACGTAGATCATCTCAATCAAAAATGCTTTCATTTTAGAGCTGTACTTCAAGTACACAACAAATATGGGCGTTTCGTGTACTGGCCTAGGTGCATATTACGTGATTATTACTCATTGTTCCCCGTTTACTTTTTGGTCCGTCTCAAAAAATTGTAACACTTTCTCCTTTTAGAAAATTTTGTGTGAATCACATTCATTTTCCTTTCTCTTACACAACCACAATCATACATTTCCATTTTATTCTCACTTTCTAAAACTCCGATCCAAGTTAATGCGAGAACAATTTTTTGGGACGGAGTGAGTATCGTTTTTTAAGTGTACGGTACACATTTGTGTACCACTACTTTTTTAGGACGGACATATTGATTTGATTTGATCTAATCGTACCAAATTAAACTAAATCCAATTGAAATTGGATCATATGAAATTTGATTTGAGTTTAATAGTATTTCTTTCAAATCGTAATAAATCGAAACGATCCGAGACCGATAAAAACCAAATAAAACCAAATCAAACTAAAAAAATTATATAAAACCCTCATACTACGTAAATTATTAAAAAATAACAAATTCAAATCGAACCAAACTTAACTGTATCAAACCAAATCGAAAAATAGTACATTTTTGTTTGGTACTAATTCTCAAACCCAATCAAACCAAAAAAGATAAAAAGAAAACGGATATGCTCATCCCTAGTTTTTCCTTCATTTTATGGTGGACCAATAAGAATATTCGTTGGTAAAGCATCCTAAGTTTAAACTTCATTTTATGTATAAAATTATGTTATTTATGAGTGGAATAAGTGAGTATTTCAAGATATTAATCAATTCAAATAATTGCAAGATATAAATTCAAATTTATTCAAAATTACATTTGAACTTAGACGTATTAAATGAGCAATAAGTGCACGAATGTAGGATACACCAAAATTAGATTATTGTGACACGACAGTGTAATTTATTAGCCTGCTTTCAGATATTAAAAGGCTATGCAACAATTTTATGGGATTTTTCTTTTACTTTTAATAAATATGGACTACATAGTGTGTGGAGGAACTCATTTGCTCCTAACTAAACATGTTTTAAGATTAAGTACTCCTCTGTCCCAAAATTATCTTCATTCTTTCCATTTCGTTCCGTTCCAAATTTGTCTCTCTTTTCCCTTTTGGTAAAGAATATGTGATTCATTATCATTATTACAGATTCTTACACATTTCTCTCTCATCTGCACAACTCTCCACAACACAATTCTCACTATCATAAAACCTGTGCCGAGTTAAAACCGAAGATAAATATGGGACGGAGGGAGTATCAAATAAGTCCCGTTTTTTTAACTCCAGGGGCATCTAGGGGAGCGGTCTGGGGGACCTGGAGTAAACTAGACTGAAACTCACTTCATTGAGTCTCGAACCCAAGACTTCCCATAAGAAGAGTGAGTCGTCGATCAGTTGAGTTGGACCGCTTCCTCTTATGTAATCGAACACAATTACTTCTATGTAGACACCTCCTCCTATTTAGCAACTTATTTACAATAAAATGCAACCTAATACTTTTTGGATGTTAATACGTCGATATATTTAGTCTCAAACCAAAACATATCTGACCTAACTTAAATAAATCAGACTCAAGCTGATTTTGATAGTCTTAGGACGAGACCAGACGTTTACCAGACCAGACCAAACTAGTTCAGACCAGACCAGCAAATTTCAGTCCAAAAGAAAACATCCTTAGACATATATCAGATCAAATCGACTCAAACCAGACCTAAACAAACTACATCAGACCATATCAGAAAACTATCAATTTAATTATAATCTCCTCAGTGATTGTGTCCTCCCCCGAAGCGCAACTATCAATTATATTAGAAGTGTTTATAGGGGGTGTTTGGATCTGATTCTCAAAACTGATTCTGCTCTTTCAGGGACCAAAAGCAGAAACTGGAGTATTTGAGTGAAATTCCAGAAGCACTTCTAGTGCTAAAATTTACACTCAGAATCAGTTTTTTTAGAAGCTGTGAGGTACTAGCTTCTGAAAACTGATTAATGTTTTCTTATGTTGATGTAAAACTTTGCTAAGTTTCTAAAAATTAAATGAAGTGTAATCAAGGTAATTTGATGGGTGCGTTTGAGAAAAAGCCAAGGAACTTTTATTTGGGCCATCCCAATTATTAGAAGAGAGAAGGATAGAGTAACGGAAGGCTTAATAATTACCAAGAGCAGAGCCTTTATTTCTGTATGGGTGAGCTTCGCCCCCTGATCATCCACCGCATCTGCTGTCAGCGACATTAGAGTGCTCAAAAAGTCCACGTCACGCGACGTTTTCACGCCGTTCATTTTGTGCTCCTCCACTATCGTGTTCAGGAACGCGTCCAGCCGCGCGTGAAGCTTCTTCATCTTCCCCGCGATCCCCTGCAAGTCCAGCCACTCCACCGCCGGGATGAAATCGCCGACGTTAAACACGCCGGCCAGCATCATCATCTCCACCACCATTGACTTGAACTCGTCCGCCTTCGGGTCGCTTTTGCCGCCTCTGTTCGTTGTGTGGTCGGCGAACACCTTTCGGCCTATCATCACGCGGCTGAGAGCATTGGTGGCGCACACGTTCAGTAACTGGTCCAGTTTCACCGGACATTTGCCTGCACTTGCTAGGGCGCGCGTGAGCACGCCCACTTCCTCCTGCAACAATCAATCGTTTTTTTCAGTTCAAAAGTATCATCATTAAAATTTCAAGTCATAATAGGGTTAAATAGTACTCCGTACTACGTCACGTGGGAAAATAATGGAGCACCTTTTTCGAAAAATAGGTCACGAGAAAGGGGCAAATAAGTTTACCTACTAAAAAAAAATGGTCAAATAAACCTTTATATCGGAGGTTATGTCTGGTCGTCATCATTTGGGCAGTTCCTTATGAAAATTTTTAATGAAAGTTTTTGAGCATCTTATTCATTAAATGTTGTTTACTCATACCAAATTTTAGCTAACAATTCAATCGGAAGGCATTAAAATGAATTCTTGAAGATAATTGCTCAATTAAATAGAGCAGCATATTTCGGAAAATTATTTGACTGCCTTCCCGGTTAAATTTTTAGCTGAAATTTGGTATCAGTAAACTAGACATAATGAATAAGATGCTCAAATCATTTCATAAAAAAATTCCACCGGAAATCGTCCCAAATGACGACGGCCAGACAGAGTCTCCTATATAAAGCCTTGTTTGACCTTTTTTTATTAGTACAAGGGCTTATTTGCTTCTTTTCTCAAATAACCAAGGCAGATCAGACCAAACCAGACTTCCGTAGTTATAAAATATACAGAGACCAGACGTTTACCAAACCAGACTAGATTAGACCAACAAATTCAATCGAAAAGAAAAGGGATAAGGGTCAGATAGGGCCTCGAACTCGGAAAAAAATGTCAAATAAGGTCATATTTCGGATGATCTGTCTGGCCGACGCCATTTGGGGCGGTTCCCGATGGAATTTTTTGATAAAATTTTTTGAGCATCTTCCTCATTAAGTCTAGTTTACCCATACCAAATTTCAGCTAAAAACTCAACCGGGAAGGTAGTCAAATGAGTTTTTGAAGATAACTGTGAAGTTAAACAACGCCGTACATTTCGGAAACTTATTTGACTACCTTCCCGATTGAATTTTTAGCTGAAATTTGGTATGGGTAAACTAGACTTAATGAGGAAGATGCTCAAAAAATTTCATCAAAAAATTCCATCGGGAACCGCCCCAAATGGCGTCGGCCAGACAGAGCATCCGAAATATGACCTTATTTGACATTTTTTTTTAGTTCGAGGCCCTATCTGACCCTTATCCCAAAAGAAAACATCCTAAGATTTGTGATCTAAAATACTGGAGTATTTGGAGAATTTTCATATATTTTCACATACAGGAAATATTTTTTCCCATAAAAATTATTTTTGTCCTCCAATTTAACTTCTATCTTGGATCATCATTACGTAGTCGTACTCTTGTACCCGTTTGCCCCCTATTTTTCCTATTCATTTATCTTCTTTAATTAATTTCTAATTTCTACTCCGTATAAGTTTTCACTTTGAAAGTACTTGTGTGCCTGCATTTTTACTATTCATTTATCGTCTTTAATTAAGTCAGACTAAAGATGTTTTTACTTGGACTGTAATTTGCTGGTCTGGTCTGAACTGGTCTGGTCTAATCCAATAAGGTCTGATTTCTTTGTATTTTTATAACTATCCAAGTCTGGTCTGGTCTGGACTGGTCTGAGGCAAATTACAATCCAAGTAAAAACATCCTAAACATTCCTTTGTAATGCAAAAGTAATTTTGAATAGTCAATTTTTAGTTTTTCTACCCAAAAACTATTGTAGCCAAACCAGAATATATTCTAATTTCACTTGAGGCCTAGATTTTTCTCATTCGTTTTTACTATGGATTTCCTTAAATGGTAAATATTTTCATTAAAAATAGAGAAATTGCCCAATATAGGAGTAAACATAAACATAATTGCACAAATAGGAGTGAAAATTAAAACTTCCTTCAATACATTAATTTTGTACCCTTAATGCCCCTAACCTAGTTAATTCTAAAATATGACTTATTTGATCCTAATAAAATATTAAAAAATTCTAAAATATTTGAAAAAATATATTGAAATAATAAAAATTAAAAAAATATTTTTTAAAAAAATAGAAAATAAATAAAAAAAATAGATAAACCACGTTAAAAAATATAAAAAAATATGAAGGCCTTTGCCACAACCTCGACCATCACCCAGCAATGTCACCTCTGATTGGCGGAAAAAATGCTATCTTATGTTAAAATTTCCATTTTTCTTTGAAAATGTCATAAAGATGGCAGTTTTGCTCTTTGAAAATGCCAAATTTTCTCAAAATCTGCCATCATGATGGCATTTCGGAAAAATGTTAGCATTTTTTCAGTGGTCGGAGCTGGTGGTGCTGGGAGGTTGTTGAGGCGGCGGCAGACACCTACATTTTTTTTTAATTTTTTTTATTTTAATTTTTTAGTTTTTTATTTAATATTTTTTATTTTAATAATTTTTATTTTTATTAATTTTATTTAATACGAAGTATGTTTTATTTGATATATTTTTGTGTTTTTTCATTTTTTTACAATTTTATTATAAATTAATGGTATTCCTTTTATGTTTTAATTATTAATGAAAGTTATTGAAACTTAGATAGGGATATACTTGTCTAAACATTAAAGTCACTCCTATTCAAAACATGGTATTCCTATTTTTTCATTTTGCCTATCTTTTACTCATATTTGGGGAATTCTCCCTTAAAAATAGCGAACCTCTTAAAATACATCCAAACTTTCTTAGAATACATAAAAAATCCCCCTTTTTAGGGAGCACAAAAAATCCTTTTCTCAAATGAGACCATCATTTATTTCCTAAATAAGACTTAGGCATTCATATAACAGTATGAATCATAATTTAAGATATAGGCATTCATCATTTTTTGGCATTTGCAGTTGTTGTCATTATCCGATCTCATACTAAAATCAATAGGAGTAATAATAATTTAAGATAAAGTTGACTGATGTAATTTGACCTGGCGGACATGGCAAAAGTCATCTAAGGCCTTAGCGGAGAAGAGATGGACGGAGCAGATCTTCCGGAGCATTCGCCAGCGTGGGCCATAGGGGGCGAAAACGAGATCCTGGTAGTTATAAGCTATGTGCTTGGCGCCGGAGTTGGGCGGCCGGCTGGAGAAGTTGGCGTCGTGCGCTTTCAGGAACTGGGCCGCGACGGAGGCGGAGGCCGCCACCACGACGTCGACGGACCCTAGCCGGAGGTACATCAGGGGGCCGTACGTCCGCGCCAGCGCCGCGATCGACTGGTGCGGCTTCGGGCCGAGGTGGGGCAGGTTGCCGATGACCGGCCACGGCTTCGGTCCAGGTGGCAATGGCGGTGAGTGACGGCGACGTTTTGCTTTTGCCACCAGAGAGTACACCAAAACAGCTAGGACGAGAGTGGACAGCAGCTGGGTCACGGTAAGCACGGCCATTGTATTTTTAGGAAATGCTGTTTCTTCTTCCTCCTCTAATTTGTGTGATCCATACATTTATAGATAGGTAATTGACTGGGAATGCGTGGGTCACTCAAGTAGAACGGTAGCTGCGTGCGATATAAATACGGAGTATATCCTTATCGGTGAGTAGCTCCATACTTCCATTCGCCTACCAACCTTGTTTCCTCTTTTTTTTTCCCAAAATAGATTTTTGTGGTGCAATATAGTTTCAATTTACAAAATGGGAATACAATACGTGTAATTTTATACTCTAAACAGAAGTACTCCTCTATCCCCTATGATTGTTCCACACACTATTCATTTGTTCAACACAAATGATTCTTAATCTCTTACTTTATACTCCATCCGTTCCACTTTCAGGTTCCCACACGATTTACGATGTTTGACTGATGTTAAATGTCCCACACCGGAAACGTTTGGATGAACAAAGTGCTATATTAACACACGAGCTACTCCTCCTATCAGGTTGACCTTTTAGGATGGAACCCCGTGTGTTAAGATGGTATCAGAGCCAAATCGATCCATGGTGTGGGACCCCTTATGAAAAATAATGACACGATTATAAAAACGGCCGGATGAAAAAAAACGGACCGATGAAAAAAATGAATGATTGCACGATCCAGACGAAGTGTCTGGTCGTGAGGAGGAGTGTTAAATGTCCCACACCGGAAACGTTTGGATGAACAAAGTGCTATATTAACACACGAGCTACTCCTCCTATCAGGTTGACCTTTTAGGATGGAACCCCGTGTGTTAACAACTGACTATAAAATTAACGGATCCCTGTCATTAATAGAACTATTTTTAGTAAATAAAATTTACATATTCAGAAACTACATTAAAACCGCTACAAAACCTGCAAAATATAATTTAAATTTCATAAACTTTCGATATATAAAGTAAAAGATTAAGAACAATGCACATTGACCGGAGAATAGTGTACGAGAACCTTTAAATGGGACGGAGGGAGTATATCAAATTTTTTTCAAATTTGATTCAGGTTTTTGGGACTTTGTAAAGCTTTTAATGTAGTTTCTGAATATGTAATTTTTTATTCCTAAAAATAATTTGAGAGCAGACAGGGATATGTTTGCTTTATCGTCGGTCAAACATCGTAAACCGAATTGTCCCAATCTTAGTTGGACGGAAGTAGTAATTATACAAAGTGTATAGCATCACTAAAATTTACTACCTCTGTCCCCTATGTTTGAGACAAGAGAAAGTGACACAATTATTAATAAAAGTGGATTTATGTGGTTGATATTGAATTGATAAAGTAAGAATAAAGTAGGAATGATTTAGAACCGCACAAACTTTACCAACTAAGGTATGAGACAATCTTAGTGGGACGGACCAAAATGGTAAAATGGGACAATCATAGCGGGACGGAGGGAGTAAGATTTAAGGTATTTGTTGCAGTTATTTTTACCCTTGTGAGGTGGTCTGGAAACACAACAATTGTACATCCAACATTGTAAATAGTGAAATTCTTTATTTGGTGTGGTTTGTTATCCATCAAATACTATTTTCGTTGTGAAATTAAATTTCTAGTTTGACTCCTAACGGTTTTTAGGTAGAATATAAAATAAAGTTGACTTATCAAAAATAACCTTAAATGATTAAAAGGTAGAATGGATATAATAAAGAGCTAGAGTATAATGATGAATAATAACCAAGAGGGTAAAATTAAAAAAAAAAAAAATTCTCTCTCAAAGGAGGACGTCTCCCTAGTCATCTAGGGTTAGTTTTTTTGCTGCGCCGTTTTTCTTTCTCGATCAGTAGGGGGAGGGCTTCGGCGTCAGCACGGTTTTTCTTCAATTGTTTTGTGCTCGGACGTGCAAGGAAGGGCTTCGGCTCTGTGTTGGCCACGTTTGGCTCATTTAGACCTATTACAAGACAAGCGAATCATATTGCTCTATACAGGGTGATTGGTTCTCCAGCTGGTCCGAGGGTCGGTGGCTGGAAGTGTTTCCTTTATCATTTGTATCCCTTGCTGAATGTTTTATTATCAATATAAACCTCCTTGTTACAAAAGAAATAATCAAGAGGGTATAATAAAGAGGGTATTGAATAGTGAAATGAGAGTAACAAACATCAATTCAATGTAATGATGTGAGGGTAAAAGGGTAAATGAATAATAAAAATAGTTAGTCATTTTTAACATTAATTAATCACAACAGCTTGTTATACTAAACAAAACTAAATAAAACAATCAACTTTTTATTAAACAGCTAACACCATTTTATTTTAAGATCTTTTCAGTCAATAAAAATTATCACTTTATAATCGTGCCACTTAAAGGTTCTCACTTTCCTTTTTTGGACGCCCCACCTAAAGATTCCCACTTTCTATATCAGGAAACAATTAACACTCTTAAATGACAATTTAATCATCAAATGTTAAAAATAACACATTATAACATAACAGTCTTCATCAATAACTCATTATATTATATACTCATCAAAATTATATCTCAAAATGTATTTGAATTAGCATATTTAATTATTTTCTAAATAATCATGTCATTTTGTCATGAAAACCTTTAAACGGGACGGGGGTAGTAACAGTTATTAAAAAGCTTATAAAAGTAATTTTTTCAACTAGTTGTGCAAAACACACCCTAGTCTCTAGGAGTAATAGAGAGGTCGGATGAAGTATTAGGGAGGAAAGGAGTTCACGGGGGCATATATAGTCACCCCATTGCCGGAGGAAAAAAAAGGGAAACGCCGCAGGCAACCGAAAAGTTGTGCTCCCTGCTGCAACAGCGGATCTCCGTAACACTCACGCCGTCTCCTTTGACTGCCGTCACCTGACATCGCCATCAGGTAAGTCTGTTCCACAACCGATGGAACTGGTACGGAGGATCGCCTAGAACTGTTGCAGTGCCGCCAGACTGTCATCATGATATATTAATTAGAATATCAAGATGATGATGTCGGCAAGTTGTAAACTCAGTTTTTAGATTAGTAGTTTTAGACGTTATATGTTAGTTGATACTCCTGTTATAAATACGGAACAAGTGAGCTGTAAATGATCAGAATAATATCATCGATGTCTATCATCTTCTTCTTATGTCTGTACATTCAATTTTCCCTCCATCTTCAAACTTTCTTCGACTAATTTTCTCATATTACAACTAGACCAAGTAGCTTAACTTATAGAATAGGTTATCTCAATAATCCATTCTAGATCATTGGTATCAGAGACTACAAGAATCCACAACTTTTATACATCTAATTCATCATCATCGAGCATCATTTGTATCCATTTCAAGTACAATGGCTCCTACTGTCAAGATTAGAATGAAGCAGTGAATAAGAGATTTACTGAAGCTGACGAACAATTCAAGAATTTGAATGGAAGGATCGGAAACCTGGGGAAAATGATAAAGAATCGGGGTAGCAGTAATACAAAGCAATCAAACTTCAAGTTATAGCAATCAAGGTCATCATCTTGTATCTGGTAACCCTAATTGATCTGATTTCTTCTCTACCAGGTGCACTAGAATGGAATTTCCTAGATTTTTTTGTGATAATGTAAAAGAATGGTTGTACAAATGTGATCAGTTCTTTTCAATTGATAAAACTCCACCACATACTAGAGTCTTAATGGCATCAATGCATTTAGAAGGAAAAACTCTACAATAGCATTATGCATTATTGAAAAATAAGGATAATGGTAATGACATAATGTTGTGGGATGACTATGAGGTTTTAGTCACGGAGAGGTTTGGAAAGTCTTTTGATGATCCTACGGCAGAGCTTATGTCATTGAGACAAGATGGAACAGTAATTGATTACCTGGAACAATTTGAAGCTATATTAACCAGGTTACAACTATCTGATGAACATAAGTTGAGTTGTTTTGATAATGGCCTACAACATGATATCAAGATGCATGTGAAAATGTTCAATCCAACATCTATCTAGTATGCTCGCAGGTTAGCTAAACTGTATGAGAGTTCAAAAGAATATAAACCAAAACAGTTTGGTACAAACTATGCTAATCAAAAATCTACTCCAATATTACCTGGGCTCAGTACCAGATCATTTCCCCCCAAAACACCTGCAAATCAATCCAAGACATTTACCTATTTCAGAAAAACCACAAAAATTACCCACGTAGGTAGAAATGACAGAAAGAAGATCAAAGGGGTTATGCATGTACTGTGGGGATGTCTACACTCCCAATTATTATGCTCAAAGGCATAAAAGCCCTCAATTGTTCTATCTTGAGGGAGAGGAAGAGGACAAAGTGAATGAAGAAGGAAGTGGACAGTTCAACACAGAGGATACTTTTGAGTTAGAAGCATGCATTTCTGCAAATGCAATGACTGGAATATCTAACTTTCCAACAATGAGAGTTACATGATTTTTTTTGTTTGTTTGAAGAGAGTTATAGGATATGCACAACAAAAGACATCTACAAAGTCTATTTCAGTGGTTGATGGAAATAAATATTGGTATGCAAGGTGTGCAAGGGTTTTCAATGACAGATTCATAATACAACATTCACTGCTGATTATATGGTGCTACCACTTGGATGTTGTGATATTGTTCTACCAGTACAGTGGTTATCTACATAAGGTCCAATATTGTGGGATTTCCAAAAACTAAGAATGGAATTCCAGTCTAATGGCAGGAAGCATGTTCTCAGAGGATCTGAAAACAATAATAGGATCAAGGTAGTATTAGCTTAGAAACTTCAGAAAATAATGATGGGAGAATACAATCAAATAGCTTTATTAATAGTTTCTGAAGTTGGTAGTCCACAAGAAATGCAGAAAATTGATGATCAGAGCATTCTTATGGCCACAAAGGTTCAAGAGCAGAATATTAGAATGGAAGAATTGTTGAGTAAATATTCTAGTATCTTTGAGGAACCTACACGTCTACCTCCTTCTAAAGTGGACTTTGATCACAGAATACCTCTAAAAATGGTTCCCAACCAATCAGCAAAAAACCATACAGATTTCCTTCATTACAGACAATGTTCTAAAAGGCGCTAGGCGCTAGTCGGGCGCCAGCCCAGCGCCTAGCGCCTAGGCGGCTAGGCGGGCGCCTAGTCGGGGACTAATCGGAGACATAGAAATTACATTTTTATCTATATTTTTGCATAAATATGATAAGTAATATTTTATTTTTGTGCGTATAAAGTACATATATACTTATACATTACCAAACATGAAAGATAGAATTATCACATTTAATCATACGTA